GCTAATTCCTAACGTCCTTTACTCCCATGTGAAACCCAATCTCCAGCTCATTCTTTTGGGCACTTGATCCCAATTTCGCCAAGTTCCCAATCCTAACATTGGGATCCTCAACTTGGTATGCGGGTTCCTCTCTGGATTCGTCGATTCAATGCTTGGTTTCACACTTTTCCGCCATTCAAATCGACCCAGTTTCGATGTCGCTCAATGCGTGATCTTTGATTGTGTTCATTGCTCCTCTTGTTCAGTTTAGTTGAGAGTTTCTGAGTCTTAATATAAGTTGGCTTAGATCTGACTTCTTCTACATGAAATTTGTTTTTTCTTGTTTTCAATTTCACTGTTGGTCTATGCATTGTTTCAAGCATTATTGAGAATGATGGGATTATTCAATCACCAAATTTCGTCAAGTTTGACCTGCAGGTAATGCCTATCTGAGAAAGCTCCTTGTGATTATTGGTCTTGCAAGTCATTTAAATGGTAGTAATGAATGACTGAATTATTATTTAATAGTTATTTTCAAAAACCTTCCCCTCCAATAGATAAATTTATGGCAGAATTTGTGAAATTACCAATTGAATGCTAATATGTTTTGGTTGCATTGTTGTTAACTACTTTATAAAACTGGGGAGGAGAAATACTTGCTAGATCTACAAAGAATTCAAGGGACACAATTTGCGTTTTTCTACCGTTGTGCTGCATTTTTTGCACAGCTCTAGGTCGTTTGAAATCAGGGAGAGGTCTTCGTTCTTTCAAGAGGATTGTTTTCTACTTGAAATTTGAATTTCAGTGGTGAATGTTCATTGAGATTCATTCATATATATGATGTATCATATTGTATATATCATATTTTTTAGTATGACTTGATCACCACTACTTTCATGGTATCCCTTTGATTTTTAGATGGGTGTTTGATTTTTTGAGTTTTTTGAGTTTTTTATTAAAAAAAAAAAGTGAATAAAAGGAGAGAAGTATAGGTTTAACGCCTAAGTTGGATTATTATCATCATTCAAATTGTTAAGATTAGTAATTTATCTATAATTTTATTTGTTTATAATTTTTTCTTAAATTATTAGTATAATATTTAGAAACATTTATTTATAATTTAATTTTAATTTATTAAATAATAAATATTAAT